TCGAACCTGCAGGCTCAGGCAATCCACTCACCTCAGCCTCCCAAAGGCGCGGGATTACAGGCTGAGCCACTGAGCTCGGCTCTATGGTACTTTTTTAAAGCAGCTGAAACAGACTAAGACAAAGTAGATAGTAGTGATGGTTGCACAACTCTATGAATATACCCAAAATCACTGAACTGTTTACTTTAATGGGTCAATTTTTTCCTTTTTTTTCAATGTAAATGATTATTTTTATGTATTTATTTATTTATAATTTTTATTTTAAAGATGTGGGGTAAATTCAGGGTTAAGTATACAAGTGGACATCATACAGGTAAAATTTGGGCCTCCATTGGGTCCCCACTTTGCCTGGTTTGAGATCAGCTACCCTTACCGATGGTATGTGCCCTCCCACTCTGGCAGTATTAGTGGGTCAATTTTATAGAATGTAACTGTTATCTTATACTTTAAAAAAGTGGTTGTTTCATAGAATTGTCATAAAACTAAGTGAAAGAAAGTATGTTAAATGCGCAGAGCCTGTATTCAATGAACAGTGATTCTTGAAAAAAAAATTAGTGGTCCATTTCTTCACTACTCTAATAGAATTGCAAATGCATGCCCATGCCACAGCCTCACAGCATACTTTCCCCACTCCTTGACTGTGGGCTCAGTCTTTGGACATTAATGTACTCAAAAATGTGTTTAATATATTTTATCCAAGCTGGGGTCGGTGGCTCAGCCTGTAATCCTGCGCTTTGGGAGGCTGAGGTGAGTGGATTGCCTGAGCCTGCAGGTGTACCGCCTGGGCAACTTGGCGAGACCTCATCTCTACAATAAATCAAAAAAAATTAGCCGGGCGTGGTAGCATCCGCCTGTAATTCCGGCTACTTGGAAAGCTGAGGCGGAAGGATCGCCAGAGCCCAGCAGTGGAGGCTGCGGTCGCCGGGAGCAGCCACTGCACTCCAGTCTGGGCGACTGAGTGAGACTCCAACTCAAAAAAAAAAAAAAAAAAAAAAAAAAATATATATATATATATATATATATATTTCATCCAGCATTTTTAGTTGTTTTCAGCAAATGAGTCTTTCAGGTACCTGCTCTGTGAGAATTTGACTTTTTTATTTTTGGCATTACTTAAACTGTGTCCCAAAGTACCAGTGTGGTTTAATATCTTCCCCTAACTTTATTGCATTTTTACTTTTATTCCTTTCTATTTCTCATTTTTTGTATTGCCTACTCATATGTCTATCTTGTTGGTGCTTTCCTTGATTTTAAAGTGTTCTTTATATATTGCATATATTAACTGTTTTTTGTTTTCTTTCTTTCTTTACTTTTTTTTTTTTTTTAATCAGGGTCTCATTCTAGCACCCAGGTTGGAGTACAGTAGCATGGTCACAACTCCTTGCAGCCTTAACCTCCTGGGCTCAGGCAATCCTTCTGCCTCAGCATCCTGAGTAGCTAGGACTACAGGTGTATGCCACCACATCCAGCTAACTTTTTATATTTTTTTGTAGAGACAAGGTCTTGCTATGTTTGTTTTTTCTTTTTTTATATATATATTTTTTCATTAATCAGTATTTTTTATTATGGTTTTGTGGGGTACAGTTA